TGTCTCTGCGATGTTGTCTCCCGCAAGAACTCTCTCTCTCTCTCTCTCTCTCTCTCTCTCTCTCTCTCTCTCTCTCTCTCTCTCTCTCACTTCCCGTGCCTGGGCTTCTGCAGATGTTCAAGCTTTGTAGAACGTTGCACACACGTGAAAACCACAAGCACAGGGAGATGATGATGGGGACACAAAGCACAAATGAGATTGTGAAAACAGAGAGGTTGTAGATGAACACAACGAAAAACATCAAGGAACGTCAACAACAATGAGATAAAAGTGGTGTGAAGAAAACTAGCTACCGGTAGGCAAAAAAAATAATGACGCTCGACCTAGGCAAACCAAATGCAGGCCTTGGAAAAAAGTTACCTAGGCTACAACAGGCAAACAAAATGGTACTAGAGACACCATAGACCGAAACAGGAAAAAAAAAGGAAGGTCAAAATGTCGAGGCACCCTACTGGCAACGGACCTCCACAAAAAAAGGGCACGGTTGTAAACGGCGGGTCTGAGGGGGGGGGACAAAAAACCAGTTATGGGGGGTTCGGGGGAGGCAAAAAAAAAAAAAGGCCTCGGACACTGAAACTGAGAAAAGAGACTTGAGGTTGAATTCGTCAGAATGCGGCTCGGCCTAGGCCAAGCAAGTGCAGGCCTTGAAAAAAAGGAACCTGTGCTATGCCGGGCAAACAAAACTGGTCGACGACGCAAGGGTGAAACACGAAAAAAAAATTGTAAGGCTAAAATGGAGAGGCACCCTAGTCACACCGGACCTAAAACAAAAAAGGCACCGGTTGTATCGGCAGATCAGGGGGGTGGGGGCGAGGGCGGGGGACAAAAAACGAGGTATGGGGGCTATAGGGCTCGATAAAAAAAAAAAAGTATCGGGCAGAAAAACTGAGAAAAGAGACTTGCGGGAAAGGAAAAAAACGAAGTCTCTCGTGACCACCATATTTACGGTCTTTTTTTTTTTTTTTTTTGACCATATAGGCCACAAGGATCGCTCTTCGCAACACGGCATTACAGAGAAATTGGTGATGACAACCCAACACGAGACACATGGGAGCATTCATCTTGTCAACGAGAAAAGGGGGGAATTTGTCATGCCAACCACCAAACAAAGTACCAAGAATCATGTCGACCACGGTTCACCATCGCACTAGCCCATCTGTAAAAGACCAGAGGGGGGGGTGTAAATTATAAAATT